ACTGTTTCTATCAGACATTTGTATGGCACTAACTGTGTGCCAGTGTTCTGAGTAGTTAGAATAGTTTCAACTTCATTTTCCCCCTAGCAACCATCTTAGGTAGGCTATATTCATTATATCAAATCTTAAACAGATAGAACTGGAGTTTAGAGGGGCAGCCACTGGCCTGAGCTTCCACCTGATGGAGCTCAGGTTTGAACCTGGCAGCCTGGAGTGAATCCTTGCTCTTCATCACTCTGCAGCATCTCTCGTATGCCAGTCAAAATCTAGGTGAGACACGCTGGAGGGGAGGGAGTGTACACGGAGAGGTGTGCAGCTAAGATAGCTCCTTAAAGTGTTGACTGTGGTTGAGTGTCATAGAGGAGGTCAAATTACACACATTCATGGCGGGCAACCCATGAAGGTGTCCATGCTCAGTAAACCAGAAGGTAGAGGAGGAAGAATAGGCAGAGAGGTTTAAGTTGTGGCATCTGGAGGAGGTCCGGGTCCATGGCTGTCTGGCCTAGAGAGCAGGGTTTGGGCTAAGGCAGAGATCTAAGAGCTGCCAATATGAAGGGGTTAGAAGCAGCAAAGAATGGATTGAACAGGCCCCAATTAAGTCACCCTTTTGGTGTCTCTGAAAGATCAGTGATAGTGTCCTTTACCACATTTACCTGTAATAAGTATAAAAACACTTCGGAGCAAGGGGACAGATGTACTGTCTTCTAGCCCAGGATCTGCATCTCAGAAAATTGCTTTTTCTATAGCAAGCTGCCTCATACCCAGCCAGATGGCACCAGTGTCCCTGGAGAGCCAGCCACCCCCAACTCGCAGCGCCTGCCCTCCAAAGTGGAGTCCCTGGAGAGTCTCTACTTCACTCCCATTCCTCCTCGGGGTCAGGCCGCCTTGGAGAGCAGCCTGGACTCTCTGGGGGATGCCTTCCCTGACTCTGGCCGCAAGACCCGCTCTGCCCGCCGGCGTACCACACAAGTCATCAACATTACCATGACCAAGGTTAGCTGCTGGGTGTGGGGCTGCGGGATATTAACACCGCTTCCTACCCAAGGGTCATCAGTTAGGAGCACTCACGGAGGACCAACAAGCCCACAAGGCACAGATGGGAAAGTTGAGCTTATCTTAAAGAGGGCATGGACTTATTTTGGATTTCTTTTCTAGAGAAGGGCAGGACCTGCCTGACAGGAAGGCAGAGCAGAATATAGGAGATAGCAGCTAACCCTGAGTCTCTAGCATCCCCGTGGAGCCAGGATGTAGCTTGGTGTGGCCCTCAGGAGATTGCCACCTCTAGACTTGGGCTCTTTTCTTCTAGGAGGCTGGACAACAGGTGGAAAGGTGGTTTGTAGATAATGTTCACACCCCAGGAACCTTGGGCGTAGGGACAGCAGAGGTTGTGGGCTGAGTCCAAATAGATAGCTCAGGAGGTAGGGGCCCTGGCTCTTAGCCTAGCTACTTCCTAGCTTTGTTACCTCTGAAATAGGCTGACAATGTCTCCTTCAAAATACTGTGGATATAAGTGTCTCAGCAGCCTCAGCATCTTTCAGGAGCTTCTGGCAGTGTGGCCTGTTCTCACACTTGCAGTCTAAAGACCTTTTTAAAGCTATGTGGAAACAGTGCATCCAGTGGCATCTGAGAGCTTTGGGGCAGAGGAAGGTCTTGCTGCTTTATAGTGTTACTGAAATACTTCATTCTTCCAGAAACTAGACGTGGAAGAGCCAGACAGCGCCAACTCATCCTTCTGCAGCACGCAGTCTGCCCCTGCTTCCCAGGCTAACCTGCGAGCCACCTCCTCCACCCAGTCTCTGGCCCGCTTGGGCTCTCCTGATGATGGCAACTCGGCTCTGCTTAGCCTGCCTGGCTACCGGCCTACTACTCGAAGCTCTGCTCGTCGCTCCCAGGCCAGGATGTCCAGTGGAGCCCCCCAAGGTGAGGAGACTGCAGGAACTCAGCACATGCCAAACTAGACTGGAAGTGGATCTTGGCATAGAGAAGAGGCCAGCTTTCAAAAGCTCAAGGCAGGCCTCCTTCCCACCTTCCTGTACCAGAATTGCTGCCCCTCACTCAACCCTGCTATCTCAGGGCCTTGTCTGTCCTAGGGCTGCAAAGAAGCAATCTGAGCCAGGGGTGCTCACCAGCTGCTTGAGAGTCTCAGTGTGAGTCAACCTTGCGGGGGGCCTCCGGGAAAGTCAGGCTGGCTGCCCAGCAACTTCTTGGAAGTTGCCCTTAGGCTCTAGTGACCCTCCCTGGGTATCTAGTCATGACCCTCAGTTTCTCTTGGTGTGGGGTACCAAGCCTCGGCAGGTAGATAAGATGCTACAGCCTCTGCTTATGACCTTTTCTGTCCTCCCCCAAAGGAGTGCTCCTCCGTGAGACAAAGGATTTGGATGGTGTGCCACTTGTGTTCTGCTTGTATTTCCATCCTGAAGCTTCTCAGGAAGGTGGGAGGGAACAGGGGCGACAAGTGTGGTCAGGTTAGTAGACAGTGTGTGACTACAGCCGTGTCCGCCCCAACCTTGTCCTCCACAGGAAGGAACAGCTTCTACATGGGCACTTGCCAGGATGAGCCTGAGCAGCTGGATGACTGGAACCGCATCGCAGAGCTGCAGCAGCGCAACCGCGTATGCCCACCGCACCTGAAGACCTGCTATCCTCTGGAGTCCAGGGTGAGCCCTGGGGCCCCCTCGACCTCCCATACTGACTGGTGGCTAGCCTCAACATGTGTCCTGGGTCTTTGGTCTACTGCAGAGGTCACTCTAGTGCTTCCACCTGGAATAGCTGGCATCTGTCACTCAGGAAGGAAGGAGCTTTAAGGATCCAGCTTCCTCCCTAGTTCCTGCTCCATACAGCTTGGGCCCACTGACTGGTACCTCTTGTCCCATGCAGCCTTCCCTGTGCCTGGCCACCATCACTGATGAGGAGATGAAAACTGGAGACCCCCGGGAAACCTTGCGCCGAGCCAGCATGCAGCCAACCCAGATTGCTGAGAGCGCCGGCATCACTACCCGGCAGCAGCGCAAACGCGTCTCTGAGGAGACCCACCAGGGCCCTGGCACTCCTGAGGTGGGTGTGTGCGTCTGTGTGGTGTTGTCGTTGGCAGTGCCCTCGGGTCTGTGAACCAGCTCACCAAGTCTTAGCGAATTGGAGGGAAGTCTCTTTCTAAAGGCAAGATGTGCAGACAGTTGGAAGGGCCTCTGTCAGAGCTGGGGGAGGTATGTCCTTTTGCCATTATCTGCCCAATTGTGCTCTGCCTCACAGTCCAAGAAAGCCACCAGCTGCTTCCCACGTCCCATGACTCCCAGGGACCGGCACGAAGGACGGAAACAGAGCAGCGCTGCTGATGCCCAGAAGAAAGCAGCTCCAGCTGTTCTTAAACAGGTTGGTCCAGGACTGAGGGGGAGAAGGGAAGGCCAAGAGAAGCCTTGCTGGCCAAGCCCCAAAGTAGCAACTTGACAGACCTTTGCCCCACAGGCTGACCGGCGCCAGTCAATGGCCTTCAGCATCCTTAACACACCCAAGAAGCTGGGAAATAGTCTTCTAAGGCGAGCAGCATCAAAGAAGACTCCAGCAAAGGTCTCCCCCAATACTCGCAGTGGGACCCGCCGCTCTCCACGCATTGCCACCACCACCGCTACTGCTGCTGCCACCTCTCGGGCCAAAGGCAAGGTAACTCAACAAAAGGAAGACCGTCCCCTAGACTGTAGGGCAGCATTCCGAAAGGCAGGCTTAAGCTAAACAAGGGAAGGCGGCTGGGGGTGCAAGAAGAGATACGCTTTGTCCTGGTTAGCCATTCACAATTAAGGACGCCATATTTCTTAGGCATGGCTGGCAACCAGTAACTTCAAGATAGATAGGTGTTTATCAGACCCAGAGAGGAAGAGGTCCCCGCCAGGGGTTTTCTGAACTAGCCAGTAGAGGACGGCAACACAAGACTTCATTTAATCTGGCCAAGTGACTGTTTCTCTTTTTCAGGCAAAGCATTAAAGAGTCAACACCAGTGCGTGGCCCCACCTGTGTCCTCAGCACTGACCTTGCCTGGTCCTTTTCCTTCTACTGTCCCTCTCAGTGCCTTCTCTCAGCTTCCAGGCCAGCGGTGGCCAGCCCCCGAGAGACATTGATGCTTGCCTGCACCCTGGCCTGGTATCTGGACTTTCACTGGTACCTTCAGAGCTGGCCCAGGAGGCTTGGAGCTTGGCCAGTGTGTGGTCTTCTCCCTGTCTTGCCTCCTGATTTTTTTTTTTTTTTTTTTTTTTTCCTTTCTTGGAGAAAAGTTCACTTTTCCATCATAACTAGATTTGAGGCTGGATTCTTGAGCCCAGACAGTCTTCCTTAGTCTCTGGACCTAGAAGGGACCATTGGAGAAGCAGGCTCTGCTTTTCTGCTGTTCCTGGTGGCTGGGCCTAGCAGGGGCCTTTGCTCTTGAAGCCCAAGATTGGGCATGACCTGGTAGGAGCCTCTGCTCTTATCTGTTCCCATCTACACAAGGATACAGCTGCCTGGAGGATGCTCTTTTCCAGGACAGATGGGTCCTGGGTCTCAGGGGTGGGATAGTGGGCAGCCTTCAATGGCAGCTCACACTTCACCTTCCCCAGACTTGCACTGGGGTGGGATACGGAACAGTGGGAAGGTTTTTAAGGGCCGGGGATGGATCTTTTCTAAATGTTGTTACTTGTAAATAAAGTCTATTTTTCTCCCTTGAGTGCTGAGCTCTTTGGGTCAGTATGGGGAAAGAAGGAAAAATTACAACTCTTTGGAGCCTGTCTTTGGCTCTGCTGAAACTTTAAAACCACACCCTTCTCTCATCTTCCTTCCCAGGACCACATTTTCCAGGATCTTCCCACATTCATTTCTGGCCCCTGGTCCTAACTAGTATAATGGACTGTTACAGTTCAGAGGCTCATGTTTTTCTGAATTTCTATTTGGCATGAGAGGCAGTATCCCTGCTCCTTCCTGAGACAAGCAGAGTTCCTGCTGATCATACTAGGGCCTGAAAAAAAAAAAATCAGAGGTTGAAATGCTGTAGCTTTATTCATGACAGACTCTGCTGAGATTGATAAAAGTGTGATCTGAAGCAGCCATGGTCCCATCCCTTGATGCGGGGCACTGGGTCAAACAAGAAACCTAAAACCATCCGTCCGTAAGGAATGAAACCAGTGCAGGTTGTGGTCGGCGCTAAGTGTGGATGCTGCCGAAGTTGGAAACCTGCCAGGCTTCTGAGAGTCATGGTGAGTGCAAGCGGAGCTCCTGTTGCTCGGCCAAGGCACCATTAGGTCTCAGAGGCTCCAGACCACCCCTGGGAATGAATAAGACATTAGAGACGTTGAGTGGCCGGGACAAGCGGGAGGAATTCTGAGCTTGATTACTCTGGCAGACAGTCTAGGTGGTCCCGCCGCACAAAGGCGAACACGGCCATGGTGAGGACTCCACCTTCCAGGTAGATGACAGCCAGGCTCAAGACCGTGCTGTGGCTGGTTCATGCTTACCCTGGCCCTGCCGACAAGGGTCCTGGGCTGTGACTGGAGAGGGCTTCTTGAGAAGGGGAGGGAACTATCTTCAACCTATCCTAGGGAAGTAAAAGCACACACTGTCAGAGCTCAGGAGGTCTTGGCCTCCCTTCCTCTCACTGCTGTCCTAAGTTCCTCCATTCCACCTCTGGTTGGCTGCCCTGGCAAAGCCCGTCCTATCCTCCCCAGATAGCAGAGGTTCTCCCCTCCCTGGATGCCTTCCTTCAAGTTGCTTACCCAGAGCTGGGACAGAACGATGTGATACTGAGCCACCTGTCCAGGGTCCACAAACAAACAGGAGAAGTTGGTACTTCGTAGGGTGGGGCTCAGCTCCTCCAGAACCAAGGCCCGCTGCAGCCAGGTGCTCGTATTCCTGTGCTCCCGACTAGAGAAGCAGAAGGGAATCCTGAGAGGCTTGTGAAGGGTGGGGGTGTGTGTGTGGGGGGGGGTCCTCCCTTCTGCCATCCTGACTGCTGTGAACCTCACCTTGTGTGGCCCTCCCTCAGTCGGCCTGGGAGGTGCTCAATGAAAGAACCGTTGCCCAGCCAGTAGAGGATGCTGAAATAGGGGAAGCGGCTGCAGGCAGTACAGGACAAGGTCAGCGATCCATCTAGGAGCACATCTGTTAGTTACTCAACAAAACAGGCCCCTACCCTGCCCGTGCCCTTTAGTCACTGCCCCGCCTACATAAGAAAACGTTAAAGGGAAAAGGTATAGACCTCCCTAAGCCTGAGGAACGCAGGGAAATGTCCCAGGCTCATGCGATTCGTCCTCAGGAGGTTTTCTAAAACAGTGCCCAGTATCTAAGATTGCATGCCAGGTTATGTAGGCTGATGGTGCTCTGAAATGGCCAGAAGGCAAGCTGGCTCTTGGCAGTTGGGAGGCACACTGACAAGTCCACCCAACCCCTGAACCCTGTGTTCACAGCCTGCCTCCGACAACTGTCTTCTTGGGCTCCCAGGACACTTGCTTACTCAGTGGCACTTCTTCCTTTGGCCAGGTCACGTCCAAGGCTGGGTACCGCTTAGCTGGAACTGCTGGAGACCAGGAAGAGCATGGGTCCTTTGAGCTCCCAATTAAGACACTGGCAGTTGTCTGAGGTGCAGATGTGGCTCTGGCCAGGATGACGACAGGGACATACAGAAGCAGGACCCACCAAGGATTGGGGTCTGAAGAACAGATAGTTACAAATTTAAAGCTCAGCATCCTAGCACCTATTTTGGTTAGAGACAAGCTGCTACTTGGGTTGGGACAGACTCCAGATATTCCCAGGCTCTGCCCAGGAAATCAGAGGGGATTGAGACCCCTCAGCTCCCACCTCAGCCCTGCTGAATGGGCAAAGGAGCCTTGATACGGAGGCAGAGCCAGTGAGGCTATAGAGAAGCTCAGAGCAGTAAGGGTTGGACAGAACTCAGGGTTGATGGCCAAGTTAGCTGCACAAGTGCCATTCTTTCAGAACGACCCCACAAGGCCCCATGTCCCACCTGCTGTCCAGCAGTGTCTCATGGTCATGATGAGTGTCAGGAGCAAGCAAGTCTGCTACCTGCGACTTCCTCTGGAAAAAGGCGAGTAAAGGCCAGCCCGCCCCACACCGGATCCCTCCTTCAGGCAGGGTCGCCGACATCCATCCACTTGAGCCTCTGGAAGTTGAGGGCAGCCCTCTAGCCACAAGCCGGGCTCTGGGCACTGAAGACGCTGCCCCTGTTACCTAGTTAACAATTCCTCTCATACCAGCTCCACAGAGCACTTACACAGCCCCAACCCAGTCTCACCCGTGAAGGAGAAGGCAGGAAACTTACCTGGGAAGCAAAGCTCTCAGCAGCCAGTCCTCCTTCTGTGAAGGGCAGGCTGCAGTCAGCTTCTGGGAAAGCTCCCAGCCACGATTTCACTTTCACTTTCACTCTAACTAGGAATCAGAATCCCAATCCCAAACAGGCTGCTCTGCCCCTTGACCAGTGTTTACCTTAGAATTCCCAGGCGCCCTCCCCACACTCTTAGAGTGCTCTTCTGCCCACCTACCCCACTAAGGCCACCTAAGGGGCAAGACCGATCAGAGTCAGCACTGTCTGTCTTAGGGTCAGGGCGTGGTGCGCCTGCCAGCCTTCACAGCTGACTTTCTATTGGGCCTTTACTCTCTCCAGAACAGGGTCCAAAGAGACAGTATTCATTGATACTGGGAACCCCAAAACGAATCCCTGACCATTTCACGCTCAATGCCACACCTGCTCACTGACATCTTAGTCTCTGTCAGTCTCCCCATTCCTTGCCCCCCGAGGTCAGCTATATCACTGAATACCCACCTTCACACACGGCCACAGCCACGTGTGGGTCCACTGCTAAGTCTATACTCCCTACCTGGCTCTTGAGCCCTGAAGAGCTTCTTCGACCTCCAGGGCTCAGTATAGCAGCCTGGGACCCAAAAATCCCACCACAGGAAATAGCAACTTCCCTGTCTGGCTGGTGTACAAAACTCCCAGCCAACTGAGAGCTGACCCATAGCCAGGAAGTAGTTCTCCAACACTGGTACCAGGAGCGCAGGGGCTGGGGCTTGGCAGGAACACAATCAGAATCAGACAAAATCCTAAAGCTATACTCCCTGAATGTTGTGCCAGAACCTCTGGGGCAAAAGGACCAGTGCATTCACTTGGGGTTAAGTGCTGTAGTCTGAGGTTTGTGATTCTGTGATCAGAGGGGAAGCTGGTGACGACAGGTAGGGAGATGGATCAGGTTTGGAGGACCCATCAGGAATAAAGATAGACCGCTGGATCAGAGGCAGGAGGCTAAAGCTGGCATGTCCACACCTCTTCGGAGCAACTCCACCCACCCTCCACCCTCCACCCCCCAGGCTGCAGAATGCAGTGGAAACTCCGAGAATCCAGGAGCCCCAAGAGTTAGGGTTTCTCAGTCTGTTGGGGGGATGGGTGGAGGTGTAGTTAGAGGAACTACATTCCACCTAAGCCATCAAGACCAGAGGAAAACCATAGAAGCAGCCTGGGCCATTTGCTCAGCTCCCATTCCCAAGGATGGAGGGAAACAGGAGGCCACAGCTGAGTAAGAGACAGGCTGAGTAGAAGGGGGAGTAGAGTACCAGTCTCAGGCAGTGAGGATGGAGTGCCACCTCAGTCTAAAGGGGGACCAGTGAAGCCTCACGGCCCCTAATGCCATAGGACAGGAACCACACGTCAAGGGAAGGGATGGGTGGAAAGACGGTACCCATGACTCCAGGCCCCAGTTCTCAGCTGGGGCACCAGAGGCCAAGACAACCCAGGGGTCACAGGAAAGAGGTGGCAGAAAGAAGCAAATGGATGTTCAGCTTTTCCAGCCCAGCTCATGGAGCTTTATTCAGATGTGCCGACAAGATCCTGGTTGGTTCTTGTTACCCTCAAAGGGGCCAGGCCAAATTTCCCTAGCAACCCAGTGCTGCAGAGCCATGAACTCTCAGAGCCCACTTTTGTCAGGCTCCCAGGACTATGCGTAGGCCTGCTTCGAAGCCCCTTTTCAGAACCAGTATTCACTTGGGCCTTACTCTTGCTACCCACCCACCATTCTCATCGTCAGGCCCAGGAAGAGGCCACAGATGACCAGGGCTACACAGGGATGTTCCCCGGGCTCAGAATCCCCGGTTAGCTTCAAGGACACATGGATGACTGGCAGAAACAGGGATCCACTAGTCTGTCTGCTATGTGAATACACAACCATACACACTCTCAGGCTTTTGGGAAGTGACGTGCAGAGTATCCTTGGCACATGGTAACGCTTCTGGGCTGAAGGGCGACTTGCACAAGAAGCTGCAACACTTGCTGCTGCCAAAGTAGCTCCCGTAGTCGAGATGGACAGAGCTGGCTCTGACACCCTGCCTGACAGCCCTGCTCAGGACCAGCTTAGCTTGCTACTTGTTCTTCCAGTTGTCGCAAAACATGTCAACGGATGTTGAGGTCACAAGGCTTCCCTAGTTGGAAGTCACTGATTTTGCCACACCCAGCCTTTAGTGTCCAGACATAAAGGAACGGAGTCACACCTAACACCTATCTTCTATAGCAGTCAGAGATGAAGAGACCTTCACCACTCAGTGTTCACCTGGCACCAGTCTAAGCTCCCCGACACTGAGTGCACACCAGGCTTGAGCCTGGAGGAGGGAAGGGAAGGGAGAGGAGAGGCTGAAGCACTCAGAGAACCAGCAGTGCTCTCGACGAGGGGAGAGGACTTCTCCCAACCTACACTACTGCAGCTTTGCCCTGCTCTGTTCAGGCAGGGGAAGGCCTAGGAGGGGGGGACAGTTCCTATGCTCCACAATAAAAAATTTAAATATATTCATCAAAATAATTTCTTTTAAAAATCCCCCGCTGCTGACAGCCCCACTGGCTGGTTCTCCATCATTTCCCCCCCAACCCAGACACAGCTGGGGAGGTCCTGAGTGGCCCAAGTGCCTTTGAGTCTTTCCCACCCAAGTCTTTGTGGGCAGCAAGGAGAGTGCCCTGAGGTCCATGCTGGGTGGGTGGGTTCTCCAACGATGTGATTCCCGATTACTCCAGGCCCAGGATATAGCTGATGCCTTGTACCAGGCCAATGATGACAGGCTGCCAGGCCACCAAGTAGCGAAGCCAGTCCAGCAGCTGCCCATACATGACATGAGGCCTCTCCCAGCTGTTGGAATGTTAAGGATCCAACGCTACATGCACGAGCTGTTAGCTTCATCCAGCATGGTAGGAAGGCCTTCCTTGGGTCTGCCCAGAGTGTTAAGCTGCTCTACAGCCCAAGAAAAATAAAAAGCCACCCAGCTTCTCTTTAGTTCTCCACGTTGGAATGAAAGGCTGAACCCAGATAATCAAGGGAAGGAGAGCAGAGGGGACTGGAGACAGACTTGAGAAGTGGAGAGGTAAAATAGATACCCACAAACAACATCCATGCGGGGCCTCAGTGCACCACCTCCTCAGAGATGGCAACAGCCTGAATCTGACAGACACCCTAGAGACGCATCCATGATGTTGGGAACGGGATACCAATAGCGTTGTTTGTTTGTTTGATACAGCTTTGTGTAGCTTTGGCTGTCCTAGAACTCACTCTGTAGACCAGGCTGGCCTCAAACTCAGAGATCCACTTGTCTTTGCCTCCCAAGTGCTGGGATTAAAGGTGCTCACTCTCCCCCCCCCACACACACTCCCACACTCGCCACCCTTAACTAGTAGAGTCCTCAAGCAAGTACTCTGCCTCTGGCCCCTAGAAGATTCTTGGAATGTACAAAAATTAAGGTTTTCTCCATGAAGGAAAAGATTGTGTCTACTGGTATGTTGTGTAGCAATTTCCTTCCAGATAAAAGCTTCCATCTTGGCAGAAAGCTTGTTAAGAAGTAGGTTGCTCTAAAGAGGTAAACATCCAGCTCAATAGAAAAGCTCCTTAAGCCCAGAAAGTAAAGGATTCAAAAGCTTTAGGAAGTCCCTGAAACTAACCAGCTAGCCTAGGCCCCTCCTTCATCAAGGGTATATACGCAGTGAAAACTGATTAGACACAGCTGAACTCCCTAGAAGACTCTCAAGACCAGCCCAACTGCCTAGAAGAGTCTCAGACTAACTGAACGGCCTGCAGCGAGTCCCAGATCTGCGGCTTTCAGAAGCCACCGTAGCTTTCAGTGCATTTGTCTCTGAGTCATTCCTGCCGCTGTGGTAACCCCTTCCCTATGCTCCTGTAAGTAGCTCCAATAGAACTCACTGGTTCACTGAGCTGGACTTTGGTCTGTAACTGGTTCCCTGCCTGGGATGAGCAGATACTTACTCGTATCTCCCCGGAGTACTGTCACAAAACAGGACAGAGTCCGAAGGAAAAGGAGCCAAAAGGCTATTCATAAGGAGCCCACCTCTGGTAGAGACTGAAGGAGGCCCTACCGAAGTCAAAAAGTTTTTTGTGGCGGCTCCTTTCCTTTTACATCTAAATGTAGGGGAAGGGGTCTAAAGAGAGGAGAGAATGCCTGCGAAACCCCACTGGGAGGAAAGACCATGGAACAGCTTTTCAAATGGGTAGAGGCATCAAAAATATCATAATGGCCTAGGTCTCTAAGAGCTCGGGGCAGCTGCAAGCCCCAGCAAGGCCAGATAATTATAAACGTTCTGGGACCAGCCCTAGAAGAACCATGTAGGAAACCTGAAATGGGACAGGACAAAGTCTGTTCAAAGACTGTGACAGGGTAACTAAGAACATAATGTCCCCCGAACAGTCTTGCTGGTGTATAGGGAGAGGGAACTGGAAACCACAGAACACAGAGGGCAGCTGGGATAGGAGCTGGGACAAAGCTGGATCCTTGGACCCCTCAGGAAGTGAATGTGGGCTCAGAGAAATAGCTGGGAGGAAGGACTGTGCCACGTATAATGGTCCTTCACTAGATGGGAATGGAGACAAGGTGTCTCCAGCTCACCAGCTCCTTCAGGCACGTGCCTGCACAGGTAAAGGTGCTCTCCAGCTCTACCGCGACGGGCAAGGCACTACTCACTGGTAAACTACCCGTGGATGTTGCTAGGGAATCAAGTGAGATGACACAGGTGAAGAACCTGCTAGAGGAAGCAGACACATGACATGTGGCAGTGGCTGCTTCCACTAGCAATTTATAGTGGGAGCTGAGCTTCCCATGTCACACCCCACTTCCCCAGAGAAGCCAAATTGAACGGTAAACAAATTCTAGGTTGGGGGCAGCAGGGATGGCCCAGGAGGACCTAGACACTGACAGCACTTTCTTCCCACCACCCATTCTCAACAAGGACCCAAAGGATACGGATTGCTGAACATCCTCTTCAGGTCCACCTTCTCCTTGCAGTAGGGACAGGTCTGCTTCTTTCCCACGATGCACCAGCCTCGGATACAGAACTCATGGAACCTGAGCACCGGTGGTCAAGGGAAGTGACTGAGCCAGACTGGCATGCTAGCCCCTTCCTGGATCTCAGGGTGGCAGAGCATCTACTCTAGAGAAAGGTTCGGATCGTGGCTTCTCTTCTTACAGCTATGGAATTTGAGGCAGGTCCCTTCTCTCTGAATGTTTCCTCACAGATGGGGATAACACAATTCCCAACGTGGCACAGAATGGGAGCTTAGCTACATGGTCAAGATGAAAGACCAGCTCTCAGTGGGGGATTTGACTCTAACTAAAGCACACCAGTCGAGGGTCTCCTTCCCCTGGGACACGCAGCAGCTTGGGCATCCTCAGCAGCCGCAGCCTTGGGCTCTCTGTGACCTGGCAGGGCGTAACTAGCTTTTCCTGGCGGGGCAGAGTGCCACTCCGGAAGAAAGGGTAAGAAGCTGCATCTTCTGTCGTGGCCTGCCTACACTCCAACTTTGGCCCACACAACACAGTCACTGCCACCCGCCTCCCGCGTGACTGGAGACCTGAGGCACAAGGCAGGATACACGTGATTGCAGGAAAGCCTGTATGTGTTCTCGATGATGCCCTCTTCATTGACATCCACGAAGATCTGCTGCCCACACACAGCACACACGCTGTCTGAGAGGTGCTTGGTAGGCATGCCGGACTCACTGTAGAACTAGAGGGTGAGAGCAGGAGGGAAGGCCAGAAGAGCTGTGAGAATCTGTCTGCCTGCTAAGATAAGGATTGTGGCAGGCGCAGTCAGGAAGCAGAGAGGTGAAAGGTGGAGCTCAGCTCACTTTTTTTTTTTTGTTTTTGTTTTTTTCAGACAGGGTTACTCCGTGTAGCTTTGGCTGTCCTAGGCTCTCTTCTTAGATCAGGCTGGCCTTGAACTCACAGAGACCTCTGCCTCTGCCTCCCTGAATGCTGAGACTTTAGGCATGCGCCACCACACCCCGCTACTTTTTCCTCAGTCCAGAACCCCACCCGGGGACTGGTGTCACCACAGTTGAGGTAGGTCAGTTAATCTGATCTAGAAGCCCCCTCAGATATTTAGCACCACATTCTCCCAGGGGCTTTCTGAATCCGGAATTGTCTCCTTCCCGAAACAGAAGACAGACTGATGTTTTAAAGTTTTGAGTCTGAGAAGCTTTCTAAGGAAGGAGCTCTGGAGTCCATTGTGCCTACACCTGCTGAGACGAGTCTGCACCAGTGGCCATTAGTGACTTAAGTCCAAGTTTTCAGAAGGGCACAAATAGAAGCCAGGTTACAACATGCTAAAGAGTCAGTGACAGCTATAAAAAGCTGGGCATAGTATTTAACCCCAGCACTAGGAAGGCAAAGATATTTGGATCTCTGTGAGTTCAAGGCCAGGCTGGTCTACAAAGCCAGTCCAGGACTGCCAGGGCTGTTACACAGAGACACCCTGTCTCAAAACAAACCAACAAATAAATAAACAAATAGTAACAGTTAATCTGCACAGACAGGCTTTCTACTCATGAGGAGCAAAAAACTGGCCAGTAGCCAAAAAAGAAAGTGGCCAAGAAGGGGCCTTTTTTGTTGTTTTGTTTTGTTTTTTTATTTATTTTGTTTTTTAAATATTTTATTTACTATGTATACAGTGTTCTGCCTGCAGGCCAGAAGACGGCACCAGATCTCATTCTAGGTGGTTGTGAGCCACCATGTGGTTGCTGGGGATTGAACTCAGGACCTCTGGAAAAGCAAGCAGTGCCCTTAACCTCTGAGCCATCTCTACAGCCCAAGAAAGGGACTTTTAAGAAATAAAAATGTAATTATGGCTATAGTGGACACACCTAATCCTAGCACTTGCAGAAGCAAGAGGATCGCCAGACTTCACGTGTACATGCGGAGTTCCAGGCCAGACAAGGCTCCACAGTGACAACCTGTGTCAGAAACTCCCAAATAAATATAAGCACAGTGCTTCAAAAGTACAAAGGACGTGCCTGGCAGACAGGGTGGCTCACAGCTCACTGAGCGCGAGCCAGGCGCGCACACTCACCCACACTCAGGGGCAGGTGCAGTGGGCCTCTCACGGCAGCATCACCGAGGCGCACACACGGTGCCGTGTCATACATGCAGGCAAACACACAAAATAAAGTTTTTAAAATGGACAACAGAAAGAAGGTTAGGATCTGCGAACAGCCCAGCCTGCGTTCCCGCCACTATTTCAGCAGTGGAGACAGCACACATGCCTGCTCTGGGCCAGGGCCTTTCTCAGAAGGTGAGGCAGGACGAGCCCCACACTAAGAGCTTTCCCAGGAGCTCCATCAGAGGAAGAAAGTACCACAAACGTCTCACGGTCCCTCCCCCAGCATGACTTCTAACCCGAGGAGAAACTACAATGACGGGCTGTCACACGCTCAAGGCTTCCTAGAGGCCCTATGGAAAAGCCTGTCTCCATCCACGATCCACTGACACGGTCTAAATTACATTAGTCAGTACTGCAGGCATCTTCACGAAGTCAAAGACAATTGTTCTAATGAGGTAATGCAGCCCAGTGGACAGGAACTCAGAATGCTTGTTAATACAACGATAAAACCTCAGTTTTATTTCTAGGAATCCTGAAATCAAATTAATCATGAGGCTCTCAGGTCAAAGCATTACCAACAGGAGATGAATTGGGTCTAGTTTCTGACTTCTGAGGTCTAACTGGGGACACATCTATAAAATCACCTGTAACTCTCTTCTAGACAGAAGCTGTGACCTTTGAATGTACAGGAGATTGAAAACTGACTGCGGCTGAACGTATGTGCCACACAACAGAGTAGTCCTCAGCCTTTAGAGAGGGAAATTGGGGCTAGAGCAATGGTCCAGCAGTTTATAGCACTCGTTGCTCTTCCAGAGACCGAGCTTTGATACCCAGAACACAGAACTTTTCTTTTGGTTTTTTTCGAGACAGGGTTTCTCTATGAAGCGTTGGCTGTCCTGGACTCGCTTTGTAGACCAGGCTGACCTCAAACTCAGAGATCCATCTGCCTCTGCCTTCTGAGTGCTGAGATTACAGGCGTGCACCTCTGTGGCCAGTGGCTCAGAACTTTTGAAACTACAGTTCCTAGGGATCCAATGCATTTCTGCAGTTATGCATGTGGTGCAGATATAAATGCAGGCAAAACACCAACATACATGAAAACAATAAAGAAAAAGTGGTAAGGACTTTTTAAAGGAAGGTAATTCTAGCATATGAATGAACACTGGAGATTTTATACACGTGAAATAAGCTGGCCACAAAACGGCAAAACCACTCATGACTGCTCTCACGAGATACTAAGAAGCTGACTTTAGAGACAGAGTAAGGAAGGTCACTACCAGGTACGGGCTAGGGGCAATCGGGAGTGTTTTACCATCACCCCACCTCCAAATAAACCCTAAGATTTCACTAGAAGTAGGTAATTATGTACTTGTAAAAAGGTACCATGTGTAAAAGTTTATAAGATAACTGTTGCTGAGAATGAATTGGCTGATGAATACAAAAAGGTTGGAATATCCAGATTTGCTGAGTGCTGGGCTCGGTGCGTTGGCACAAACCTGTAATCCCAGCACTCAGGAGGCAGAGGCAGATGACCTTTGTGAGTTTGAGGCCAGCCTGGTCTACAAAGTAAGTCCAGGACAGCTAAGTCTATAAAGAGAAACCCTGTCTGGAAAAAACACAATAATAATAATAAATAATAATAATAAATAATAATAATAATAATAATAGAAAAATAAATTAATAATAATAATAATAATAATAATAATAATAATAATAATAATAATAATAATGGCTGGAGAGTGGCTCAGCAGTTAAGAGGACTATGACTCTTGCAGAGGACCTGGGTTCAGCTGTCAGCACTGACATCCATAACTCTACTTTCAGGAATCTGACACTGTCATTTGACCTCTGCAGACATTAAGCACGCAACAGTACACATACATATAGATAATTCATATACATTAAAACAAACCAAAAACATCCTTTAAAAATGTGCTAATTGACAAACCAGGGATATTTACTTGGGTCTTCCAGTTTGGCCATTTTAAGCCTGAAGCAGCTCTCTCCCCTACCCCTTCTGCAATGCCTCCTTGAGAAAGGTACTATCGTGCCCACGTTTCTTTCTCAGAGACCAAGCTAAATCCTGTCAAAATTGTCTCCCACATACTCCTCAAATAGTTCACAGCTTCCTTTTCTACCATCTCTACTCTCATCTCTCCCAGATTCCTGGAACTGTCTCTTTAAAGGGTCTGCTCTAATCTAGACCCCTCTCTAAAACCTGTTTTCTATCCAGCAGCCAGAGCCATCTTTGCTAAATGCAAACTTGATAATCATTCTCTATTTGAGCCTCTCAGAGGTTTTTCTTCTAAATCACTTTATTATTTTATGTGTATGAGAATTTTGTCTGCATTTATGTGTACGCACAATATGTGTGTGCCTGGTGTCCAGAGAAGCCAAGAGAGACCATAGGGTCCCATGGAACTGGAGTTACAGGCAGCCGTGTGCCGCCATGTAGGTGCTAGAAACCAAACCGGGGTCCTCTGGAAGAGCAGCCCATGATTTGAATTGCCGAGCTGTCTTTAGTAACAAAATTAAAATCTCGGGGCTGGCTACCGAGCTCAGCAGGCTCTGCCATGCCAATCCGATGACCTCAGTTCAATGCCTGGAGCACACACACCTAAAGGCCCAAGGAAAGAACTGAGGACACAAAGTTGTCCCTGACTTGCATCTAAGCATCACTGCTGTGCACTGCCACCATCATCCTACACAAACACAATAGTAAATAAGATTAAAATCTTTGGCCTATAGGTTTTCACTCTCATCTACTGACTATCTCTCTAGACACTAGCATTAGTTCCTCAAAAACATCCACCCTTTCGTGACGCGGAGACGGTCAGTCAGTAAAGAGCAGGAAGACCCGAGTTTGCTCTTAGGTGCCCACAACTGAAAAAGGCTGCCTGCAGCAGTGGGCACCTGCACCTCAGTGCAGGAGAGGGTGGGCACAGACGGGGGGATGCCTGGATCTCATTGCCAGCAAACCTAGGTTAACTGACGAACTCACAGTTCAGTGAGAGCTTACTGTAAAGATTAAAGGAGATGGCTCCTAGGTAAAGCACCGCCTAGCATAGCTCATGATCTGAATTCCATCCGCAGAGGCACAAGGACAGAACCAACTCCACAAACTCGTTCTCCGGTCTACATGAGCAACACAACATATGCACACCCACAGCACACACCATACACACAGGCAGTAATAACTAAAAATAAATTCGGTAAAACCTGCACTTGGGAAGCAGAAGCAGATGACTCTGTGAGTCTGAGGCCAGCCTAGTCTAGAGGAGTGATTCTCAGGACAGCCACGGCTGCATAATAGAGGCCTGACTCAAAAAACAGTAGTAAAAAGAATCAATAAAAATGAGGAAAGTCACCTCAGGTTGACCTCTGGCCTCTGCACTCATGTACACATGTTCATATGCTTGCACATATAAACACACACGCAAGCACATACACTACACACAAACACAGGTGTGCTGCACACTTACAACCCTCATTCTGGCCTGCTGGCCAGCCAGTCAGCCAAATCAGCTAGCCAGGCCAACAAGGTGGATGGCTCCCGAGGAATGCCATTCAGGTTGTCCTCTGGCTTCCAAAGGTGTGTGCACACACACAGATACACATACACAAAAAAGGAGGAAGAAAAAACCCTATGCACACTCAATTCTCTGACAGGACTCTTGCGGATGCTATTTCCTCATTTCCTCCTACAGTCCACACCGCACACTTCATCACTTACTGCTACTCATGTTAGAGTCAGCTTGAAAGGACTATTTTTGAGGAAGCCATCTTTGAGGTCAACGAGGTCAAACATGTCAGTGCTGTACGTGTCTATGGCATCGTGTCCCCTTCCTCCGCAATACTTAATACTTTCATATTCGTATTTACCAACTCCACTACTGGTAAATGCTGGATACCAAGTAGTGGGAATTTCATGTATTACGTTAATATTTAACTTTCTCATTGGTGAGTGACATTATTTGGGGCAAGGGCCATATTTTATTCTATATTCAGAGTTTGTGTGTGTAACCCATCGAGTTTAATTAGCGTTGTTTGCATAAGTACGGGTCATGGGTTACTCACTGACATTTGGAAAAGCTACCAGTGGGTATACACTAAACAAAGCGACTGCCTCTTCACTAGCAAAATGAGCCGCCAATAGCTCCTCAGAGAGGAGAACAGGTTTATTTTCAGATAGGACCCAGGCATAAAAAAAAATCTCTCTGCATACCACCCACATCCTAAAGGTTTTTATATTGCTTATTTCATTTTAGCACCTTAGTCTTACATCAAGCGATGCTGGTCTGAACAGGTGCAGGCAGCAGGAGGCGATACTGAGAGCACAGATAACAGAGTCTGGTGGCACAAACTTGTAATCCTAGTGCTCAGGAGTCTGGGGCAGGAGAATTCTGAGTCCAAGGCACCTGGGCTACAGACACAGCAAGACCTTGTCTCAAAATAAGCAAGTAAGTAAGTAAATAAAGAGCAGAGATAAACTTACCCCTATGGTGGATGCCATGTAGTCTGCACACATCTCTGCAAAGTCCCGCTCGAGAACGCCATAGTAGAGGCCATAGAAGAGAAGAGAAATGCCAAAGTCCATTGCATCTTCTGGTTTAATCCTGCGTGGGAAGCACCATGGCAGTGAGGCCTGCCCTAAGACACAACTGCTTTTGATTACTTCTTGGGGACACTCAAGACAAAGCCTAAATTTAGCCGGATCACTCAAAAGCGAGAGCAAGTGTTAGTACATTACTAACAAGCCCGCCCACTCCTTTTACACGGTCCACAGCCTGTTTTGAGAAAGCCATTACTATGAGCTGCAGAGACCACGCTCGTGTGTCACTGCCCCACAAACCCGGTCCCCAATCTCAACTCTGGCTACCCTTCCAGCCTGACGTGACAGGCAGCCAGACTCTGCTCTTGCCTGGAGAACCTTCAGGAGCTATGCGTTAGCAATCCACGATTGGTAAATGCTGGATACCGAGGAGTAGGGATTTCATAAAAACAAACAAGAAAAAAATTAAAAACGTAACTCACTGAATGGCTCCACCTCCAGCTACCACCCAATCTGATGTGGGTGACCCCACTAAAGGTCAGGCAGGGCACTTATGACTGGGTAGAACTGAGGCAAATAAGTATCCCACGTATGTGAAATGTGCCTGTGGAGCTCCAAGGAAGCAGGGCACAGCAGGACAGGCATTTTCTCTCCACCTATAAGGACTGCACATAATGGCTTAGGTTTTCCCTATTTTCCTTTACAACCTAAAATATTTACATTTGGCCTTTTACAGAAACAGTTTAACAAACATAGTTTTGGGGTATATGTAAAATTATGAATATTTACATCGTTGTTTAAGTACATATACGGTATATAATGTCATCAAAGTTAAGTTTTGGCTCAAGCCTATTTACTAAAATATATGGATCCTTCTTATAACATTAGTTTAAAATTCCAAGTACAGTCTAGAGTCTATGAATGTTGGAGAAAACTATCTTTGCTAACATGTTTTACAAGGAACTCCATGCATTCACTCATAGCTGTAAGTTATAATTCTCATAGAAAAAGGATATGCTTATCAGCCTTGCAATAGTAACAGATTTAGTTAGTGCTCACTTTACACCAATCAAACTAAACAGCAACATAAGAAGAGTCAAGTCAAATTCCAGGTGCAGTGGTGCACACCTGAAATCCCAGCACTCTGGGAGGCAGAGGCAGGTGGGTCTCTATGACTTTGAGGCCAGCCTGGTATACAAAGTGAGTCCAGGATAGTCAAGGCTACACAGAGAAACCCTGTCTCAAAAAACAAAACAAAACAAAACAAACAAGTCAGTCTCAGCAGTTAAAGGCATTTGGCTGCTCTCAGAACAGCAGGGTTCAGTTTCTAAGACCCACATGGCAGCTCAAAACTGTCTGCAACACCAGTTCCGAGGGATTCAATGCCCTTTTCTTGCCTCTGTAGGCTCCTTCAAGTACAGCTGCATGCAAAACACTCATAAACATTAAATTAAAATAGCAAGATCTTTGTTTTTGTCTTGTATAAATTAGCAAAGTAAAGAGACCATAGAAGAAACATCATTGAAACCTAACCCTGGCTGGGCGAGGAGCCACCGTTGGTCGCAGCACAGCTTTGTGGAAGGCATGCAGTAGAGACTACAGGGAGGAATCCTAAACTCCCTGGAACCCTTCATTCTTGCAGCCCATTTTCCCCCTAGAAGAAAGAAATCTAGGATTGCCCACTCACTTCATAACATACAACTTAGTTTTACTTGTCCTCCAACAAACTTTGCAACATTCTGCCTACAATGCACTGGGGTTAGTGGCTTGCTGGGCAGAATGAGAACGCCTTCAGACGGTCCTATGCTTGAAGGCTTGGCCCCCACATGGTGAAACTGTTTGGGAAGGGTTAGGAGGTATGGCTTTGCTCAAAGAGAGGTCACTGGGGGTGGGCTCTGAGCTTTCGAAAGCCCATTCCAGGCTCAGTGTCTGTCTGTCTGTCTCTCGATCTCTTTCTGCCTACTGCCTACAGATAAGGATATAAAGCTCTCAGCTACTGCCCTAGGACCACACCTGTCTGCTTCCTATCATGATGATTAATGGACTACCCTCTAAAAATATAAACAAGTTCCCAATTACATGCTTCTCAAAAATAAATAAATAAATAAATAAATAAATAAATAAATAAATAAATAAATAAATAAATGAATAAGAGTTGCTTTAGACATGGCATCTTTTCACAGTAATAGACAGTCTTTCCATCCATAAATTAAAGTCTTCATCTTTAGTCACTGTTCCAGACTTCGAACTCCTTCCCCTCCGCCCTCTTCCTTTTCCCTTCTTTAGTACTGAGGATTTAAGTTGGCCTATCCTGGCCTTCTACCACTGAGCTGTACCCACAGCCCATTTTTTATTTTTTATTTTGAGCTAGGATCTGGCTTAAGTAACCTGGACTGCCTAGGCAGACAGTCAGACACTGTATTTTCAGTGTTTCTGCTTTAGCCTATAAGTAACTGGGATTACAGGCCTAGTTTGGGACACGCTTTCAATATACAGCCCCTCACTCAATATAAACCAACCAACAAACTAACTAACTATTTATTTATTTTGGAGACAGGGTTTCTCTGTGTAGTCTTGACTGTCCTGGACTCACTCTGCAGATCAGGGTGGCCTCGAACTCCCAGAGACCCGCCTGCCTCTGCTTCCAGAGTATTGGGATTACAGGCGTGCACCACCTGGCTCCCACCCTCAATATTAATTACTTCATCTAGGTATCCATACCTCATCTCCTTCTGGCCTACTGACTCACTGTACTCTCTAGTTTCTGAGCTCAGGACTGCTTGACTTTAGCTCATCTGTGGGTAAGAGGGCTTGTAAGCTGGTGTAGATCTTCTAGAACGCTCATGACAAGAGGAAACAACAAGCAGCCAGCCCTCATTGCTAGGGCTGTGCCCTCAGGAAGAAAGACATGCTGATGATGACAGCACTGAGTGAAAGAACGCACGTGCCCAACAGTGGGGCAGGACTTACTGCTCCCAGGGCACCATTCCAGAACTACTTCCCTGAGGTCTGTCGAGCGTGGAAGGGCCGCCACACCACGCTCTGCCTGTGAAGTGGGGGCCTCACGGGACAGAACATGCTGCTGGAGGGGTGGAGCGGTGGGGCTTCCAGGCCAGAGTGTTGCCCACAACTCGGTGTGGACCCAGTCTCTCACACCTTGCCTCTGGGGCTACTACGAAGGCCCGTGCAACCCTGCGCGGCTGTGCGTCCTCTCTTGGATTCTCCTAAAAGGACCTGTTGCCAGTGTGGCTGACTCAGTTCACAGGGTGCACCATCTGGCCTAAGGATTTCCAAACCTTTTCTGTGAAGAACCAAATAAATACTTTAGGTTTTATGGCCCAAATGGTCTCTGTCACAACTACTCAACTCTGTTGTTTGAGTGCAAAATCAGTTTCAGACATTTAACAAATGATATGAATGACTGCCTTCCAAGCGTGACGGTACAAGCCTATGATCCCAGCATCAAAAAGTCTGAGGAAGAGGAGCCCAAGTTTGCGGTCAGCCTGGACTACAGATGAAAAAACAAAACAAACAAACAAAAAAACCCTTTATTTTATTCTAATACATGATACGCTGACTTGACCTGAATGGTAAAGTTTGCCAGTTTCCGGTCTAGTCAGGCAGAGCAGGGAACAAAGATAAAAACTGTTCTTAGAAGATGAAATTATGGGTCACTGGTTAACAGTAAGTGAGCAGAAGCTTACTTCTGTTATACTTTCCCACTGAATACCAATTTTTGGGAAATGTAATCATGATTTGGGATTCTTGCCTTTGTCTACATTCAGACATTCCATGTTTGCTGCCAGCAAAGCAGCACAGAGGGCTGCTACTTGGTCCCAGGTTCTCTTTTTTAACACCAGCCATTCCTCCCCAAACACCAGAAAAATGTAAAAGCAAAGGGTTACTCACTTGAATAGTAAGTTAAGACCAAAGAGGGTAAACATGACAGCCATGTAGCCAACAATGCCAGTGGCATAGCTGATTTTATAGATTAGCAGGAACCATTTATAAACCAACCTAGAGGAAGGAGATAAAATAAAATTAGTACAGCTGGCTTAGACTGCTAGCCTCAGGAGCCACTCAATCACCAGAAACTCCCCTTCCCACATCAATGGGACATCAGGTTCAGTGCTCAGGTTTCTTGGGCAACAGTTACTGTCAAAAGGTGTTCATATCCTCAACTGCAGAAATGCTCCGAAATTATTATACCCAAGAATGCTTTGTATCTTCCTGGACCTGGGCCAAGAAAAGAGACCTCAAAAAATAAGTTTCAGTCTCAAGCAAATAAAAGTCACAGCTGACCTAAGCAGTCTCTGCCCTCTCTGATTTAGGTTAGTTGGGCCAGGAAGTAAAAAAACTAAGAGCCACGAGAACACAACATGCAAAGGCTTGCTGTTCCCGACAGAACAAGGACAAGGGGGCAGGCGAATCAGACAGCAGTGGCTGCAGGCTTCTGTACCAGAAGTTTGGCCAGTCACTGCAGCTTTGCTCCTGTCCATAGGCCACTAATACTAGCAGGGTGTCCCATGAATTTGCTTCTGTAATGACATATTTCTTTGGAGAAGAAATGAGAAAGATACTCCTATAGTACCCTGAATTAATGTGTATGCTTTACGCTGGTGATGCAAAGTAGGTTTTTTCACATCCTTGAGGGTATGCAGAAGGTATACCCCAGAACTCAGTGATGAGCAATGTGGAATCTGGGTGGTGAACTCCAGCTGGGGTCAGGACGGAGAGAGGAGTGTCTGTAAAAGCCAGAGCTCTGTAAATGCTGCAGGTGGTCCCTAATTCCAGGAGTCACTGTGCTGGATAGTATTTTGTCAAACTGACACCCTACAGTCATCAGAGAAGAGAGCTCCTCATTGAGAAAATCCCTCCAGAAGATCAGCAGTAGGGCATTTTTCTTGATTATTAATTGTTCCGGGAAAGACCAGCCCACTGTGGGTGGGGCCATCCCTGGGCTGGTGGTCCTGGGCTCTATAAGAAAGCAGGCTGAGCAAACCATGGGGAGCAAGCTGGTAAGCAGCACCCCTCCATGGCCTCTGCATCAGCTCCTGACTCCAGGTTTTTGCCCTGTTTGAGTTTCTTCAGTGATGAACAGGGATGCAGAAGTACAAGCCAAATAAATCCTTTCCTCCTCAGCTTGCTTTGGTCAAGGTATTTCATCACGACAGAAACCCTAACCCAGACAGTCACTAATCATCCTGTCTGAGACAACAAATGAGCAGTTTAGTAATTTGCTTGAGTAACTAGCCCAAGCTTTCTTTGGTCCCAAGAGCTAACTTACTGCTAGAACCCAGGATGGACACTTAGGTTCCAGCCTCTGCTTCCCTGCTCTGGCTAAGCAGGTTTCTCAGGCTAGGCAAAGGCCCCAACCATTTTGTAGTGTTGCACAGAAAAACCACACACAGCTGGAAGGGAAAGAGACAGCAAAAAAGACATGGAATTTTAGGTCTTCTAATACTTATCTTGGATTAGTAAGCTTTTATTTGCTAAGTAAACCTAGATAAGTCAAATCATGTTTCTGAAATAAGTTCACTTCTTTGCATAAATGGGAAAAAGCAAACTTCCTTTCTCACTGTGGTGTAAGAGCCTATTTCTTGTAATATATTCATTAAAGTTAGATGAATAAATGAGGTCATTTATAAAACTTGGAAGCACCATCAATGTTATTTACTACTATAAAACAACCTTCCATATTACTAACAATATCTCAACCATTTTAGCTAGACATTAATACTGCTTGCCACTTGTAACTTCATGCATGTGTGTGGCACATATGTGGAGGGCAGAGGGCAACTTTGTGGAGTGGCTTCTCTCCTACCTTGACTTGGGTTCTGGGGATCAAGATGGACAGCAGGCTTAGGTGACCTTAGGTGACCAAGAAGCAGCTTTACTGGCTGAACCACCTATGTGTAATCTAAGCTGTCCAACGCTGACCGCCAACTCACAATCATGTCTCCTTAGTCACTCACATGCGATAGCATGCTTTATCTTGAAAAATCACTGTATATGAAGTTGAGCATTTGTCATATTTTCAGGGATGAAAATTCAAGGCTTGGAAAGGTAAGATCCCAAGTTCACAAGTTATAATGCCACACATTCCAACTCCGTATCTACTTGGCATTAGATTCTGTGCCTACTCTGAGGGCCTAGAGGTGTGTCAGGGAGAGGCTCCTGGGTCACCATCATCCTCACTCTCACAGTGAACTCAGGTCAGAGAAAGGTGTGCAGCAAACAGAACATATGAAGTACAAGAGCAACCTGCCAGCTGGGAGACTGGATGAGACCAGCCAGCACCCCTGCAGGCCTGAGCCCGTGCACACCTCTCACAGCACGCACCAAATGCATAGCAACAGGCGCTTTCCCGACCCTCTCCTCCACTAAACCGAGCACTCCTTGAGGGCAGGGACCATGTCTTATGCGGCTCTGTATCCCCAGCGCTCAGCAAAGGGCCTGGCACATAGCAGGTGCTTGTTGAATGAATGAATGAATGAATGAATGAATGAATGAATGAATGAATGAATGGAGAAAAATATCTTTTTCTGTCAGGCATGGATCTTAAGTGACCTCACAAGCTGCTTGGGAGGATTAAACAAAAAACACATTTGGCTAAAACAAAGAATTATAGAGCTCTATTACATAAGAAGAAAGTGCTATTCATTATTGATATTCATTCATTCAACAAAAATTCAGAGTGAGCTAGTGTGTGCCAGACCCCGAGGCAAAGCCTGGATACACAGTGCCTGGCACAGTGGATGGGGCCCTGACCTCAAAGTTTAGCCAGGGAGACAGATACCTAAAATAACATCTAATTGTAAATTGTGATGGGTTCTACAGAAAATACAACGAAAAATCTAATTCGGAGATCAGAGAAGGCTTCACAAAAGAGAAGGATACTTAAAATGAGACCATGATCTCAAAGGCTTGTTTGTTTTGTGTTTTTCTTAACACCAACAGATCTTGATGCAGATCATCAAGTGAAGGATAGGGAAATATTTAAAATTCTGAACCCGTGGCTAGGGTAGTGGGTCTCCCAATCAGCTTATTTTAGAGAGGCCCTGTACCAGCTCATTTGGCAGACAAAAAAAAAGGGGGGGGGGCTTTTTGTTTATCATTCTAAACCCATCTTTTTCCCATGCTTTCCAACACATTTGCTTCAAGAAACCTAGGCTTGAGGGCTAGAGAGATGGCTCAGGGATTAAAAACATTTGCTGTCCTTGCAGGACACCCAAGTTTGGTTCCTACACAGCAGTTCACAAGAATCTGAAACTCCAGTTCTGGGGATCTAAAGCCCTCTTCTGGCCTCTGTGGGCAGAAGATGCAGGCAAGTGGTACACTTATATACACGTAGGCAACATTCAAACACGTAACATTTTAAAAAATAACTCGTGGGGCTGGAGAGACGGCTCAGCAGTTAAGCGCACTACCAAAGGGCTCGGGATTCAAATCCCAGCACCCACACGGCAGTTCACAACTGCTCCTGAGGATCTGACACCCCCACACAGACACACAGGAGGTGCAACTCAAGCATAAATAAAATAAAAAAGGAGAAGGCACCCCAGGCCTCTCCTCTGCCTATGTTCTCACCTGGGGGTTGTCTGCACCAGAGGTTTCCGTGTGGCTCGGAAGGTGACAAAGGCTGTGACAGCAGAGAAGAAGACCCAGATCACCAAGAACCTCCACCAATGCAGCTTCACTGTGAAATAGAGGGGAACAACCCACATCTGAAAGAGGGTCACCATCTGAAACACAAACACAAGCACTTCAGCTCTGCCGGCTCCCTCTGTAGGCCCTGTCCAGAGTGTTCCTGTTTAGCTTCATCTTCTCACACTTCCAATTTTGTTGCTCTGAAACAGGTCTCAACTAGGTAGCCCTAGCTGGCTTGGAACACACATAGATCTGTCTGCCTCTGCCCCCCAAGTGCTGAGATTAAAGACATTTGCCAGCACGCCTGGTCACATTTCAGTTTGTGTAAATGTGTTTCTAGTAGTGTGATAAATTACCAAGCTGGCACTAGGCTGACTTTATCCTTCATTAAACTGTAGCCCACACATAAGCCTCTGCTTTCCACTGAGCTCTTGCTATCTCTTGCCCAGCTTCTCCAACTTCTCTGCTAGTTTGCCGGCACCCATGAGGAAAAATGAAAGAAGATACCTACGGTCGGACCAACTGGTTTCATTCTCTATACTTCTAAGTCAAGTTGTTCCCCTTGGGCTACAATAGCCTTCTTGCCTCCCTTCCAGCCTTTCAAGATCTCTGAAGCCTTTGGTCTCCTTTCTAACCAAAATTAGGTCTGAATTCCTAGTGCCCCAAAGCCTCTTCTTTTCCACTGTCACCTCAGTGCTTATCTGCAGGAGACAGGCTTTGAATTCATTTCTGGGTAGTGACTAGGCCACAGTCATCTATTTACACAATGCAATGCCAGGGAATTAGTACACAATCCGTACCAATAAATGCGAACAAATAAATTAAAAGCAGAGTAAGACTAGACTGAAGTAAAATTCCCTAATGGAGAGGCACATTTCTGTGCCAAGGCAGTGAACCCAGGGCCCTGCACATGAAGCACAGTGAACTAACTACCCAGGAGACGTGTCCCCAACAGCAAAATACTAAAATCATTACTATTTTACCTTTTTTTGACTTTGAAATTGGATGTGTATTAACAGCACATTTCAAGCACTCAAAAGCCACAAGACTGGTAGCTGCTACAGTGGGCAGCGCAGCACGGAGCTTCCAGTTTACCTAATAGCTACCACTCACACACAGTGTTTTGTGCTCAGAAAATATGTAGTTGGTTTTTGTTTGTGGGGAATTATTTTTTGTTTGTATTTAATTATTTATTTATTGTTCCTGCCCCTTCAGACATTTTCCTACACATTAAAGCTTCATTCTTATCACCTTCATGTGTACATATGTGACATAGGCACAGATGTGTGCAGGGGTATTACCTGTGCATGAGCATGTAGGAAGGCGAAGACTGACATGCAGTATCTTCCCCTATCTTCCCCTCTGCCTCAGTCTTTGATACAGGGTCAATGAACTCCCTTTTTTTGTCTAGATTAGTCAGTGAGCCTCAGGGGTCCACTTGTCTCCACCCCCAGCTTTGGGGTTTTAGAAGCAATTTGGCACTCTTGACTTCTACTTAGATACGAGGGATCCAAAGTCAGGTCTTCATGCTTGCCTTGCAAATATTTACCCACTGAGCCACCTCCCCAAGTCCCTGCCTTATGTGATTCAGGTGAAGACAGAGGAGGCAGCAACACAGTTCAGGGGTAAAGTGCATGCCTAGTGTGTGTGAGAATCGAGGCTCAACCCTGAGTATAGGGGATGAGGTCGTGAGCACTGACTCACTGTGAGTTTTCTGTTTGGTGGGCCCGAGGGTGCCCACTATTGGCTAGTAAGTGCAGCATACAACCTGAGTCTCAGTTCTACTGCACTAGAGCCCACAACTGACCCTGCAGCGAAGCACTCTGAAAACTAGAGGCTGAAAAGCTGGACTCGGACTAAAAACAGAGAAGAGCCTTTGTGCTTTACCCTGCTTGCCTTTTTTTGAGACAGGGTTTCTCTGTGGAGCCTTGGCTGTCCTGGAACTTGCTTGGTAATCAGGCTAGTCTCAAACTCACAGAGATCCAGAGATCTGCCTGTCTCTGCCTCCCAAGTGTCAGGATTAAAGGTATGTACCACCATGCCCAGGCACATTGCTTGCTTTAATAGGTTCACTGAGATTGCTTACAAAACAGTAAGCCAAAATTAGCAAAGAATCGAATCAAAAGATCTGGATACATTATCTTCTGCAAAAAAGAACAGGAATTCCTGAGCTCCTTTTAGCTTTTTGAAAAACTGGGATGTTGTATTTTAAAACAACAACAACAACAACAAAAAACAGGCTGGGGCTGGAGAGATGGCTCAGAGGTTAAGAGCACTGGCTGCTCTTCCAGATGGTCCTGAGTTCAATTCCCCAGCAACCACATGGTGGCTCATGACCATGTGTAATGAGACCTGGTGCCCTCTTCTGGTGTGTATGAAAACAAAACACTCATATTCATAAAATAAATAAATAAATCTTTGGAAAAAAAAAAAACAAACAGGCTGCTTTCAGAAGTCAAGGTAAATTTTTACTTTATTTTTTTTTTCTCTTGAAATATAGAAATTTATTTTAAAACTTTTTTTTTCCTTCACTGAGATAGGGTTTCTCTGTGTACCCCTGGCTGTCTTAGAACGCTCTCTGTAGATCAGGCTGGTCTCAAACTCAAGAGATCCACTTTCCTGAGTGATGAGACTGAAAACATGCACCACCGCCACCTAGCTAGAAACTGTAGAAGTAGGGAGGAAGAAAAAAACAAAGCAAAATAAAATAAAAACCCTGTCAAGAAAAAAACAGTCGTAGTAGCTGGGTTCACAATAAAACTGAATTTAGGGTCAACAAAAGGCCAAAGTCCACACAGGAAAAACAGCACCACTGTTGTTTAACTGAATTGGGGGGGGGCACTGTTAATCACTGAATCAGGGTTTTTCTCTAAATTTTGCAGAATATGCACTACACTACAGTGTTTCATAAAAGGTAGGGATCACAGGTCGGTAGAACAGGGGCGGAGGTGACAGGGCTGGGAGAGAGAAGGGAAACCAAGGGGGGGGGGACATCTCTGAGACAAGCTGGAGACCTGTGACAGGGAGGATATGAGGGTGACTCTAACTGAGACCCTTAGCAGTGGGGGACATGGAGACTGAAGTGGCCACCTTCTAGCCAGGCAGGATTCCCAGTGGAGGAATCCCACCCACAAAACCTTCCAGCCAAAATTTACCCTACCTACAAGAAGCTCAGGGATAAAGAAGGTGCAGAAATTGGGGGAAATGTGCAACCAATGACTGGCCCACCTGAGACCCACCCCACAGTAGAAAACTAACCCTGTTAATGACACTGTTAATAATACTCTGCTATGCACGCAGACAGAAGTCTAGCATAACTGTCCTCTGAGAGGCTGCACCCAGCAGCAGACTGAAACAGATGCTGACACCCACAGCCAAACATGGGGCAGAGCTTGGGGAGTCTTGTGAAAGAGTAGGGGGAAAGGATAGAAGGAACTGGAGGGGATGAGAACTCCACAAGAAGACCAACAGAGCCAACTAACTTAGGTCCATAGGGGCTCACAGAGACTGAAGCACCAACCAAAGAGCACGCATGGTCTGGACCTAGATCCCCTAAACATATGTAACTGATGGGCAGCTTGGTCTTCATGGGGGTCCCTAGCAGGTGGAGCAGGAGCTGTTTCTGACATGGACTCTGTGGCCTGCTTGTGGATCCCTTTCCCCAGCTGGGCTCCCTTGCCTAGCCTCAGTGCAAGAGGATGCACTCGGCCCTTATATGACCTGATGTGCTGGGGTGGGCTGATATGGGGGGGAGCTCTCCTTTTGAGGACAGGGGAGGATGGGAGAAGAAGGTGGGAGGGTAGGACCAAGAGGAGAAGAGGGAGGGGGCTTGGTTCATAATACATAAATAAACTTAATTTTTAAAATGTGTCATAAAATACATGTTTTTTCACACAAAGTATAGGACAAGGGACCACGAGAAAAAAAAAAAATCAATACAAACATATTAGAGGCAGTAAAACAAAACAAAACAAAAAAACAACCTCAGTAGTAGTGGATACCATGTATTTTGTACAATTCTGCCAAACAAAGGAACTGAATAGGTTGTGGACAAAGCTAGTGAAAGAATTAAGAAACGAAAATCTACAAATCTCTTCTACCATATGACGTCAAAGGGTTGAACTCAAGTTACTGGGTTGGTAGCACTCTCGCCTGCTGAGCATCCCCAGGCTCTTGTTTAGTAAATAAGTTTACACTTCATCTTAATTTTTAAAAAATTCTTTGTGCTTATGTATATGAGTGTTTTGCCTGAATGCATATGTGTATGCGTGGTAGCTAAGGAGGTGAGAAGGAGGGGTTGGATCCCCTGGAACTGGAGTTATAGATGGCTATAAGCCACCATGTCAGTCCTAGGAGCAACAACTGCTGAGCCACTTCTCCTGGCTCCTGTATTTAACCTTCATTAGGAAAAACATTTTAATAGCAATCTTGGGGATGGAAGGGCCTTTTGTGCCATCTGGTAACAATGTTTATTGAGACATACTGAGTTCAACAGTTTATAAAATAAACACTTGTGTCTGTACAAAATAACAGAAATCTTTGCCCTGATCTCTCTTCCAATACAGGAACTAGGCAGCTATGCAGAGCTACAGTAGCAACAAAAATGTTCAGAGGAAAGATGCAGCAATGTGGACAGGAACTAGCTGGGGGAGATTTCTCTAAGAGGTGAAAGCACAAAGGACCTGCTTACTAAATTATGGATAGCATATAGCTTAGGGCAGAACAAACATGCAGCCAATCAATATGGAAATACAAAAAAAACAAACAAAACCTAGAATGAACAAAGACATTTCTAGGGTTCTATATGGAACATTCCATGAACCAATAAGCGTAACATGAAGCAAAGAAACCTCTCAGACTGCCCCAGCAGCGGATGGAAAAAGACTGATTTAAGAGCAGCTCATGGAAAACATATTGAAGGGTTTCAGTTGTCAAAGCTACTGCCAAAAAGCCATGGCAACCTCAGGCTGCCTAACTAAAAGCATACCCAGAATAAGAGCTCTCTGCTCGTCACTGTCATCTCACTAAATACACAAAAACACTGTCTTAACGAAGCATGACCATAAGAGCCATCAGGGTTATAAAACATCTGGAA